GTATTTTTTCGTTAGAATTGCAGTAGTCTGTGTCGTCACAGCATCTGAATTTGAGAGTTTTGGTATTTATTTTGAAGTTGCGTAATATTCCAGACAAAAAACTGGTCAATGCTGTAGAGTTACAAAGGGACGCATTCACACAGCTCCTTAAATAGTACACTGCACTGATGTTRATGTGGGGTATGCTTGAATTGAGGACACTTAATACAACGCTAGCATTCATGCACTTTGCCACTGATTTCGGGCACTGCTGAGGTTGGACAGGCTGTGATCTACTTTCCTTCAGCTGTGTCCYATTAGGTAATGTGTACGTATACATCAGTCTATAGGACAAGGCACASGCCAAATGGTTTTTCGGTTCTACAAAGAACCGAGGAAAAATTAATAAATACAATGTTTGAATAGTACAAAAATATTGATTGTATTTAATATGTATTCATCAATGAAAGTAACGTTAATAGTAACAGATGAAATGACTAACACAGTATATTTAATATAGAAAAATTAAGATCATGAACATAGCATGTATACCTGACGTTGGAGTTAGAAACACAGGTGTAGTCCAGCCTAAAAAAGAGGCGAAGCAGTTTGACTGATAAGTAATGACAAGCATTATCTTATGATAAGGCAAAAATAAGAAAAAAAAATTAGTTGAAACAGATTTGAGAAATATTTATTCACTTTGAACCGGAGTAGAATTAGCTAGCGCGTATAGCTGCTAAAATAAAAGAACTCCAAGAACAAGAACAAGAACAAGAACAAGAACAAGAACAAGAAAAAGAACAAGAACAAGAACAAGAACAAGAACAAGAACAAGAACAAGAACAAGAACAAGAACAAGAACAAGAACAAAACCAAGCTTCCTTAAATGAAGAAATGTCCCTCACACACCTAACACTCCTTTGACGTTGAAAGTTCTCATATATATCTATGAAAATATTTGTAAAGAGCTTTTGTCTTTTATAAAAAAAAACGACAAAGGCAACATTRAAAACAAGCAACAATMAAGCGTAAAAAATGAGCATCAGCCTACCTRCTGTTAGAGGTTGTTGTGTTCCATTTGCATTACCTTAAACAGATATATTTGAGTTCGCTTCTTTTGTCGAAAGTTTACTTTTTATAACTTTAGGAGCATAATTCTCAAATTTCGAATTTGACACCAGAGTCTCTTGCGCAACATTTTACCAAACACAAAAAAAGAGCAAAAAAATATCGTTATCAATGCAACAAGCCTGGAAATTTTCCCTGTGTTGGGACTAGCCCTGTATTCCATAAGCCGTATGGCTAAAGCATACATACACTGGAAAAATCGCGCGCCATAAAGGTTGTAAATTTGATGTAAATATGATGTAAGTGTCCAAAATGATGTAAATTTGATGTAAATCATTTCCATCAAATTTACATCATTTTGGACACTTACATCATATTTCCATCAAATTTACAACCTTTATGGCGCGCGATTTTTTCCAGTGCATAGGTGGGCGTCAATGATTACGTTTTAGCTAATTTGCATAAAAGACAGAAATYGAATTTCAAACCACAAGTAAATCAAGTTTATAAATGTAATGAAGCTCATACCTGTTAGCAATTCCTAAACATTTCATAAGGCCATACGCCTCTTTGTATTGTGCAACAATAAAGATGTTTGATATCAGTGAATTCAGAGTCACAGCTAACGAAACACCTATGCTTTTTAGTTTTGGGCTTCCTTTAGCGAATCCATGCCATATATGGAAACAAAACCAAATGGCCGATTGTTGAGAAGTGTTTTCGCTATAATATCTGCAAGTTTCCGACGATTTTAAGCTTTAAAAGTCGAGAAAATCGACAAAAATCATTCCTATCGAACTTCCAAATAATGTAAGATTACCATATATGGCTGCTAAACGAAGGATAACTTTTGTGGGGCAATTCTTTGATATGAATTGGTTAAATATTTCAAAAAATATCAAGCGCCAACTTGCAATGTTTTCTAAAGAAATGACCGTGGTGGGCATGATTTGACAAATTATAATTATAATTTTGAATTATGTGCGTTCAGTTTCGGCCTATTTTTGAATTTGATATTTTGGATGTAAACAAACTACGTCATTGTACGCCCACTTGCAACATTTCCTCCTGGCTTTCTTTTATGTCTTTGCGTAAGAGAATCTGAGATCATACAACAAGAACAAAAACAACAAAACAGTGTTTATTCGCTTTGAATTCGAAAATGGAGTATTCCTTCTGATTACTCTTATTCAAAGCCCGARTTTACAATATAGTCGTAGAATAGGGACTTTTCTGGATGTTCAAGCTTGTTAGATTTCATTATATAGCCAGATTCCATAAAATTTTAAAATAATACATGAAACGGCGCGCGTGTCTCTGCCCTCTGATATAAACACAGTGCAAAACACGAGAGAAGCAAGCTTAGAAAAACGAGCGTAGCGGGTGTTTCTCTTGCTTGTTGCGTTTTTAACTCATTAAGAACAAACATTAATCTCGGAAAATGGATCGTTTACCTGCTGTATGAGCTGTAGTGGTCACAGGTGTACTGTTAGTGGGCTGTTGTGTTCCAAGTGTACCACCTAAATAGTCATATTATATGAATTGGCATTGGTGATTATTATTTGATCGAAACTGAATAATAATAATAATAATAATAATAATAATGATAATAATAATAATAATAATGATAATAACGATTTATTGAAGCATATCCACATGGTGGCTCTACATCTTCACAAATAATTAAATATCATAAAATACAATATAATAAATATTTATGAATATATATATAACTAATATAAACTATATAACATGATACAGCTGTTTGCAATAATTCTGACCCCCTCTGCCATATTTCATATATATCAAACTGACCTTTAATATTATGGGATATCATGACTGATATATTGTCATATATATACTGTGTAGAATCTAAAGACTATTCTGCATTGTTCAAGGGTACTGTTTATCTACACTAAAATCCTAAATATCTATGTTACAGTTTACAAGAAACAGAGTGGATGAGTAAGAGAGAAATCGAACGCATATACTAAAACAGTTTTGATCGCTTTTGCAATCGTCGAATACTCCAGTTTCGAATTCAAAGCGAATAACCGCTGTTTTACTTGATAGCAGATTCTATTACGCAAAGAACTTACCAAAGAAAAGAAAGCACGAGAAAATGTTGTTAATAAAATAGCGTTAAGAATCTACATTTTCCCCGAGTTGAGGCTAACCCTGCTCATACCTTAGGTCTTATGGGAATACAGGGATAATCTCAACTCGGGGAAAATGCAAATTTCAAGTCTATTGTTATAACGACATTTTCTTGTGCTCTCTTTTGTGTTTGTAAGGTCTTTGCGCAAGAGAATCTGTTGTCAAATAAAGCAGCGGTTATTCGCTATGAGTTCGAAACTGGAGTATTAACCACAGCGAGTCTTTTGCTAGGTCACAACATTTTCTCATGTTCACAACAGATTAGAAAATTGCTGTGCAAGCAATATTTTAACGTTACGCTTTGATAATCATATTTTGGCTGCAAAGTGTTTACTACAAACCCATATGTTTTCAGTTAGATTCTATTTCTGTCAAATGCTATTTAGGCACTAGTACTGTATCCACAGTTTTCATAACGAGTATTTTTTTTATGAAAATATATCTTAACTCCTTCGACAATAATTCTTGAACAGGTATGATAAAGTCGAATACAACAACTTAATTTTCACTATATACAAGCTTATATACAATACAAGTTTTGCCTGCTCATCAATTTTCCTCATCTATTGCGAAAAAAACGTGGAAATATTACGACCTAGCCAAAGCATCGTTTTGGTTTTGCAGAACCAGCATCTTGGGGAAAGGCCATTATAAAGCGCCGTTTACACGACCATTTTTTTGCCTTGACAAGGAAAAATTCCTCGTGTAAATGGGGTAAAATTGACAATTTTTCCTTGTCAAGGAAAAGCCAAAATGTTCGCTTTTCCTTGACAAGGAAAAATTGTCAGGGACGAAATTTTCTTGTGTAAATGGACAACAAGGAAAATGTGGCAAGGAAGAATTTTCAAGGAAAACTTCTTGACCATTTATGCACGGACAATTTTTCCTTGTCAAGAAACTTGTCAAGGAAAAATTGCTCGTGTAAACGGCGCTTAAGTGATGTCAGAAACGAAGGTTGTAAAGCACCCAACCCCCTTTCCTATGTCTAAAACCAATGCAATGTTAATATATCAAAAAATTAATCAGAATGATGGATTTGTGAAAGCCCATAGTTTGATGGATAGTAATATTCGTTATCAGTACTAAAACATCCGTACATTCCTAACTTTGATTTACATGTTCAAAATTAATTAGTGTCAATTGTAATAGGAAAAAGCGCTGTCTTGCCCCCCTTGAAATCCTTTATCAAGAGCTACTCAGTCGCAAACGATCTGTTCGATTCTCGATCAATTCTCTTCACAAGAAGAAACAGGGCAAATATATTTGTTTCGAGACTCATGAACTAAACGTTCTTAAATTGATACTGCTATATTKGGGGTATATATTGGGTACTTGTTGAATCAGCACTTAAGATATTAAAATTTCTTGTATGTAAATTCATTAGCAAACTTGATTTTTGACTAAGGCACAGGAAAACCGCTAACAGCTTTACAAATAAAACCGCACGGTATTCTAATTATTATGTTATACGCACTAGAACAACACAGTGAGTGAACAAACTGAGAGAATTTTCATGACGTRCACTAAAGCGAAACGGAAAGATTTTTTGAATTTTTTCTCAAAAAATGTTGTTGTTTTGATCATTGGGCTATTTTCACGGATTACTAAATCATTCAAAATCGAGTAGTTATTGAAAAGAATCATTACCAGTATTGAAAAGAACGACCTAAAGGTATTAAATTTACGAAGTTTGAGAATAATCCGTTGCATGCATCAGAGAATAACACTTCAACTTAACAACAAAAATTACAACTATTACAAAGGAAATGAATGGTAATGTTGAAACTAGTCACTATTCCTTAAAAAAAAAAACGTTTGTGTGTTTTAGAATCTTTATCTCGAAGTTTAAGCTCATCATTCTCAAACTTGGTAAATTTGCTGACTTTGGACCGCTAACTGTGGTGGTAATGACGTTTTATTTTGAATGACTTAGGGCTTATTCAACTATTGACCTCTTAAAAGACGAAGACATATACGACTGTTTTAGATCGCTTTAGTATAGCGGCTTCCAATATCGTMATCAATTATGATKCMAAAWAAAA